AAGCAATAGTGGCAACTTCAAATGATGACTTTATTTACACTATATACAGTGAGAATGATAAATCCATAGTTATTCATGGTAAATCCATATTAGAAGATACTCAACAAGTACAGTCACAGTCACGACTCCAAGTCATGGAGACATCTTACATTCACTGCCATCGTTCCAGTCCCAAGTCCTAGCACACAACACCCGTTCACCTTTTGCTCTCCCTTTTATTCACAACTTTCTCTCCCCTTACGTACATGAGCGATCTCACCCAAAAACATGGAAAAACACATGACGATCGCTCAGACAGTCCTTCCGCTAGCCAGGTACTCTTCATTCATGCAAAACACAATATAATAAAGATACATAATTATACAGTCTGTGTACCGTCCCCCCTTCAAATAAAATTTTGTGTAACAAAATTTATAAATACAATATTGTTAGGGCAGGATCATGTGCCAGACAACAAAATTTTTATACATCTCAAAAAAAAACATGGAAAAATACATTATTTGTAGACTAATGCACAAGCATTATGTGTAATATATTCAAATATGAGAAAGAAAAACATTTCAATTACCAAGTAATTGTATAAACAAGACAAATGAGTTTAGTGAATTACCAAACTATAATACATAGTTGAAATTATCAAAGACTTAATTCAACTCATGAATTAAATAATTATATCCTATGTAGTAAAAAAACTTCCTTATCATCAAGGCATGTTATTACTACACATAAGTAATATACCTTATTGTCTCCCCTAGTCGACCCATTTCAGTCATATCTAGGTCACAACACAACATTCTTGCCTTTCACAGGTATCGACTAATACAATTCATCATTGAGACTTCCGTCTTATTGTTATGCGGAATAAATAGTCTCTAGCTTTTACTTGATTTACTTTATTCACTGTTAATTAATAGTATAGAATAGGTTTAACATAATACAGTTTACAATCTTTTGAAATAGTACACAATTTATATTACTGATACAAATTGTTTGATATCTATATTTTACAGTTACAGACTGTATAATATTAATAAACTGTAAATTGATAATGTATTATTATCCCTTTATTTTTATTTTTTTTTTATTTTTTTTTTTATTATAAATGTTGACTAATGTGGTTTAGGGTAGGCTCAGTTTCTGTACTGTCAACATTTTGCCGAGACAAAAAATCTGCTACTACATTATCCTTCCCTTTTATAGACCTAATTTCATACTGAAAATCCAGCAGAATCAATAACCATCTGTTTATCTTGCTGTTGGCTATCCGTTTGTTGTTCATAGCTAACAATGGCTTGTGATCGGTGAGGAGAATGAATTTTCTTCCTAATAAGTATTTCTGCAGTTTGGTCATGGACCATACAATGGCCAGACATTCTTTCTCCATAGTTGAGTAGTTTTGTTCCGTTTTGTTTAGTGACCTACTCAGATAAAATATAGGCCGTAGTACCTTGTCCACTTCTTGCATTAAACATGCACCCAATCCATAATTTGAAGCATCCGTTACCAGTGTTAGTGTCTTCTCAAAGTTAGGGGCAGTAAGCGTTACTTCATGTTCAAAGTACTGTTTTATTAGCTGTAAAGCATCCTGACATTCTTTAGACCAATTTATTGTTCTACTGCTGTCCTTGGTAATTAGCTGTCTTAGAGGTAGAGTTATATCTGAGTACTTGGGTATGAATTTGCTGTAGAAATTAAATAGACCCAATACACCTTTGACTTCTTTCTTGGTTTTAGGTATTTCTAAGTTGAGAATTTTATTTTTATTTCCGTCAGTAGGTCTAATTTGATTTTTGCCTACTTTAAATCCCAAAAAATCCATTTCTTCATTTGCAAATTTTAACTTTTCAGGTGCAATAGTCGCGCCATGCTCCCTTAATTTTGTTAGTACCTCTCTAACTGACTGCATATGTGTCTTGATATCCTTAGAATGAATACATATGTCATCTACAAAATGTACGACATTCTTTATATCTGCCAGCATTATTCTCATAAATCTGGAGAATGTTGCTGTTGAATTTACTAGGCCAAAAGGCATAACATTCCACTCAAATAATCCTTCATCAGTTGTAAACGCTGTGTATTGTTTGGATTCCTCATCCATACCTATTTGCCAAAAACCTCGGTTTAAGTCCAGATGAGTGAAAATTGTTGAGTTCCCTATCTCTTCCAATAGTTCATTTGTATCTCTCAGTGGTTCTGCGTCTATTTTCGTGATTTTATTCAAATCTCTATAGTCACAGCAAATTCTTACTTTTCCATTCTTCTTTTTTACTATCACCATTGGTGAAGCTACAGATGAATTTGAGCGTTGTATTTTGTTAGTTTCGATCAAATGATTTAATTCTTTCTTCACTGCTTCTCTGTATGCATAAGGTACTGCATATTGTTTCTTTTTGAAATTAGCATCCTTGTTTAATTCTATGACATGAGTAATTGTTCTTGTGTAGCCAGTATCTTCAGTAATGACATCTTTGAATTCGTTCAATAACTGCTGTAGTTCTTTTCTGTACTTCAGCGGAGTAATTTGCTGGATTTCTTCTTCTGTTTGAATTATGTTCGCTAAGGTAGGTTGTTCCTCTATAATTACTACGCTAGATTGTTCTTCTATTTGACGTTTTGACAGTTCTTCATCACGACCAACTTCCTCATTTATGTCAGTGTCATGTGTATTAATGTCCTCCATCACTTGAGTTATCTGATCAGGCATGTTATCGTATTTCCTCAGTAGATCAACATGTACTATCTTTATTGTGCCTTTGATGTCCACAGCATAATCTACTTCGTTCACTTTCTTTTTAATCACAAGTGGTCCCTGCCATAATTTGACCCCTTTCCAGGTAGGTAGCCAAACATAGACATTGTCTGTCTCCTTCAATTGCCTGAGGTATCTATTTTTGTTTTTCAATTTTCTCTGTCTACCTGCCTCTCCCTCCGCATTTTGTTGAGCAGATTGTAATCCATATACCATTTTGCTTTTCTTTTCAGTAATGAACTCAAAAGTATCTTGTTCAGTGATTTGAGTGCCAAGTAATCTATCATTTAGCAACGAAAGCGGCCCTCTTGGATTTGATCCAAACATTAATTCAAATGGCGAGTACCCCGTCGCGTCATGCACTGTTCCTCTATAGGCGAACAGTATCGCCGGAATATACTCATTCCACTCCTTAGGATGATCTTCTGTAGCTTTTGCTAGCATTACTTTGAGAGTCTTATTCCACCGTTCACACATACCGTTTGCTTGCGGTCTGTAGATGGTCGAGTGTACCTGAGTGATCTTCAGCAGCTTTGTTAATGCATTAGTCACATTAGAGGTAAATTGTTTGCCGTTGTCTGACAGCAGAGTTTCAGGAAAACCATATCTTGAAAAAATGTCTAATAATGCAGAACATATAGTTTCGGATTTTATATCCCTTAGGGGTATAGCTTCTGGCCATATGGACGCCATGTCTCTTAGAGTTAGAATAAATCTGTGACCTTTTTTTGATGCAATTGGTAGAGGTCCTACTATGTCTATAGCCACTTTCTCAAACACCCTTCCTATTTTATCAGTTGGCTGTATAGGAGCAATATGTTTGCTGTGTAAATGATTTTTAGTTATACATTGCTTGCATTTACCAATGTATCTTTTCACATCCTGATGGATTCCCGGCCAGAACGAGTTGTCAAGGATTCTATTCATAGTTTTCCTGACTCCCATGTGCCCCGCCAAAGGACTATCATGTGCTGTCTCCAAGACTAGACCTTTCAGTTTCTCTGGAATGACTATTTGTGTCCTTTTAATGCTGTTATTCTGAAATATTCTAACCAGTATATCATTTTTTATTTCATAGCAGTGGCCTCTGTACTTTCCTTGTCGTTTATTGATGTTATTCATCAGTTTTTTTGTGACTTCATCCTCTTTTTGTAGCCTTGCCATCTCAGGCGCTGTTAAGTGCGTTTGTACTATAGCTTTTAGCTTCTCTGCGTTATCATCCTGTATAATGGCGTTTACAACCATCTTACCTTTCTTGGCTTGCCATGCTTCTAAAAATTTCATTGAGTCATCCGGAATACCCGGGATGTTGCCAATTATTAGAGGACAAATAGGGTTCTCCATCACAACTGCTGTGAATGAACCCGTAACCCATGGGCAGTCTATTTCAATCTTCGCCATATCACAATGGATAGACATCCTATTAGCTAACCTGACCTCTTGTACTTCTCCGGTGTAATCTGATTATTTTACCATTGCTTTGTCAACAATCAATGTTGTACAGCCTGTATCCCTTAGGCAAAGTGTGTTTTTCCCATTCAATACCGCTGGGAAATAAAATAATCTTCCATTAGCATCACGGGCAGTAGCTACTATTTGTTTCGCTTCCGTATCACCGTTATTATTTTTCTGCCTTTCAATATTATTAAATGACAGCCTACTTCCTTGGTTGAAAGAATTAACCCTGTAGTCTTGCGGGTTTCTGTTGGTACCACTATAGTATCTGCTTGGACTCGGTGGTGAATATTCCCTACGGTTAGTATAGTCACCGCTGTTTCTATTGTGCTGGTATCCCCAGCTCTTATACCTCCCACTGCTACTAGGACCTTGTCGCTGTCTGTCATTCATATTGTTCAACCTCCAGCATTCAGCTCGCATGTGACCTTCTTTACCACAGTGATAACATGTTATCCTTATTGGTCTACTCTTTCCAATGTTAGGCAGGCTGTTACGCCTTTTTCTTGTCGGCGATTGTGTTCTCGGTAGCTGTTTGTATCTGCCCGCTACTGTCTGTGCCAGTACGGTTTCCTCTGCCGACAACTGCTCATGGGGGTGTGAATCCCTGAACGTTGCCACCGCTATTCTAAGCTGATCTTCCGTTTTTATTTTCCTTTCTTTTAGAAAGCTGAATAAGCCCTTGCCCGCTTCATCATACATTTTGAGGATTAGAAACTGATCTAACAGAGCCTTTGGATCAGTTGTGTCTATCTCCGCTAGTTCAAAGTATTTTAGCAAGTTTTCCTTCATTTTAAATAAAGTGGCCGTTGTGTCCAGGTGGCTCTCCAGTTTCATCGCCACAAAGGCTTTTCAATATTCGTCCTCCGACTTCCCATAACAAGTGAGTAGTTTTTTTTTTAATATGGTCATAGTCCATTTTTTGAATATCAGCAAGCGTGCCAATTATGTTTAAACATTCACCCGTGAGCCTGCTCAGCAAAGTACTTGCCCACATGCTTCTACTGTAGTTGTTAGTTGTGGCAATGCACTCAAATTGTGTGAGGTAGTTTAATATTTCTTCTCCTTCTCTTAAGTCCCTGAATTTCAGCTGGAATCTGGTTGAGTGCTCACCCGCTCGTTCAGTTGCGGCCATATTACTATTTATTCTTCTCAGTTCTGTTTCATGCTTGTGCTTTCTGTCATCTTCTTCTCTTTTTGCTGCAATCTTTCTTTCATCATCTTCTATTTTCCAATTCCTTTCCTCTAACCTCCTAGCCCTCTCTTCTTCCTTCCTAGCCTTCTCTTCTTCTTTTTCTTCAGCTTTCGCCTTAGCAGCTTTTTCTTCTCTAGCCTTCTCTTCTTCTTTTCTCTCAGCTTTCTCTTTAGCAGCTTTCTCTTCATCATTCTTTAGTAGATTTTTTTATAAACGCCAACCTGTCTTCCTTCGGAATGTCAAGTTCCTTCACAAGTGCTGTATATTTTTCAAAATTTGACATTTTGATATATTTTCTATGACATAAAATATAAATTCATTAGTTGACAATAGATAAATGTTAATTAATTTACAATACCCTTTCTTGGTTTCTGGCTTGTTTTAGTTGATTACAGACATCTGGTAATCCAAGAAAAGTTCATAGTACATATATACGTCCAAAAATAGTTCACTTTGTTGATTCCAAAAAGTTGAAAAAAATTCAAAATAGTTCTAGTAGCCTGTTACAGAGTAGAAATTTGTCCAGTTTTAGATAAGACATCTTTAGGAACAGTTTACAATCAATAAACTAGATCTGCTGATCCACAGTAAAAAAACTTGAACAGCTAAATCCAAATAGAAAAAAACACACATTTAGGTGTAACAATAACTTGCTTGATATACCAGCGTTGTTCACTGGCAAACAGTGGAAGACCACTTCAAAAACGTTGAAAACTGCTTACAATAATAATGTGACAATTCTTTGATCACTTGTGGTAACACTGTAACTTCGTTGAAGATTTATGACTTCAATCTAATCCATCAATGTAACAACATCAGTGTAACAACTTGAGTATACGTCCACTTCAGCCAACAAAATAACAAATGTTGACCATCTCTGACAATAATGTATCAGCTTCTTCAATCACCTGACTCCAATGTATCAACACGTCTGATAATAATGTAGAAACACTTCTTCAATTGCTTCTGACAATGTAACAGTAGTAGTAGACGCTCACAATGTAGCAACTGTTGTTGCCCCCACTTCTGACACCATATGTAACAACATGAATTCTTTGTTGTTGTGGGTTAGTTTTCACACAGGAATACAAGCAATAGTGGCAACTTCAAATGATGACTTTATTTACACTATATACAGTGAGAATGATAAATCCATAGTTATTCATGGTAAATCCATATTAGAAGATACTCAACAAGTACAGTCACAGTCACGACTCCAAGTCATGGAGACATCTTACATTCACTGCCACCGTTCCAGTCCCAAGTTCTAGCACACAACACCCGTTCACCTTTTTGCTCTCCCTTTTATTCACAACTTTCTCTCCCCTTACGTCAATGAGCGATCTCACCCAAAAACATGAAAAAACACATGAGGATCGCTCAGACAGTCCTTCCGCTAGCCAGGTACTCTTCATTCATGCAACTTCATGTAAAACACAATATAATAAAGTTACATAATAATACAGTCTGTGACACGTCCCCCCTTGGAATAAAATTTTGTGTAACAAAATTTATAAATACAATATTAGTAGGGCAGGATCATGTGCCAGACAACAAAATTTATAAATACAGTATTGGTAGGGCAGGATCATGTGCCAGACAACAAAAAATTGTGTACAATTCAAAGTAGAGTAAAATATATTCATTTTAGACTAAGCACTTGTAGTCATAAATTTATAGTGCATACAAATACAACAGTATGTAGTGACTATATCAGTGATAATTAAAATATGTCAGTGTTTTGAACAAAAACTTTAAATGTACAAGCATTATATGTAATATTTAATGCATCAATATACATTCACATAGGAGAAAAAAACATTTCAATTACCCAGTAACTGTAATATAAACAAGACACATGAGTGTAATAAATTACCAAACCAGTCTGGTACATGACTTAATTACCAAAACATAATACATAGTTGAAATTATCAAAGACTTAATTCAACTCATAATTTAAATAACTATATCCTATGTGGTAAAAAAAAAAACTTCCTTATCATCAAGGTATGTTATTACCACGCATGAGTAATATACTTTGTTGTCTCCCCTAGTCGACCCATTTCAGTCATATCTAGGTCACAACACAACAACATTCTTGCCTTCCACAGATAATGACTAATACACAATTCATCATTGAGACTTCCGTCTTATTGTTATGCGGAGTAAATAGTCTCTAACTTTTACTTTATACATTATTCTCTGTTAATTAATAGTATAGAATAGGTTTAACATAATACAGTTTAAATTCTTTAGATATAGTACACAATTTATGTTTACTCAAACACATTATTTGATATTTATATATTACAGTTACAGACTGTATAATATTAATAAACTGTCAATTGATAATTTATCTTAGCATCCTCTATAGCATGAGTAATCGTTCTTGTGTAGTTGACGATGACCTGTATGCCATCTCTCCCTCAAATTGTAGCTTTTAGCTGTGCTACCATAATCATTTCCTAGATTTCGTGTAACTTGTGTTACTTCATTTGTTTTAATATTCTCCTCTGGTTTCTGAACAACGTCAGTAGTTATCTTGCTTTGTGTACGTTCGTTTGGTTCATCAATCAACTTAATATAAATATTATGGCATTGCTTTGGCCTCTCATAATATGTGGTGCGTCGGTAACTTCCATTAGTATACCTATTCACACTTTTGTTATTCTGATTTGAAGTTGATACATTATTCCTTAAATTACTGTATTTCTCACATGACTTTCTGTGTACATAATTGTTTCTTCTCTGATTTGCCAACCTATGCCAACATTGATTTTGGTAATGACCTGTTTTTCCGCAATAAAAACATCTAGATTTTGGCTTCTTATAAACATGGTGACTGTATTCATAGTTTGCTAAATTTCTTTTTCTTTCATTCTGTGCTATATAGCAGTGGATAGCACTGTCACCTTGGGCTGCGGGTGTTGTCATTTAAATTAAAATAAATAATATGTAACTGTTTTATACTTATATATATTGTATGTTATATCAGTATGATTTGACTCTGATCGAGAATTGCAGTACATATTTCTTTTATTTGTATTAATTCGATGTCTTTAACCTATTAGGGGTGATATGCAAAATGTTCTATTTAGCATTTTATCTTTCCAAAAAACTTAATTTGCGCTAAAAATAAAAATTGAAAATACCAATTGTACAATACAATACATTAAAATAATAATGTATCCTCAGATGTGCATGTACTATTTTATGATGAAACTAATGATAACATTAACTATTGTACATACCATATAATATGAAAGTGTTTGTTAAAGCAAACACGCATTACATTGGATGAAAACAAAATGATATTCTTAAAAGCTTAGCATAGTTCTTCATACAAAAAAAAATATCGCAACTGACGTAGTAAAAACTATGGAATTAATACACACGACAGTTGCTGATCATTTTTTAAAGTAAATTTTTATTTTTAATATATTACTTTAATTTTAAAATGTTCGTGCTAGCTTTTGTCGCTATATCTTGTTTTCTTGACCCACAACTTCCTCATATGTGTCGTCTTACATGAATAGCAAAAAAAGTGTTTATTGCTGTTCTTTGTAAGTGATTTGAATGTAGTATGTAAAGGTTGATGAATTGTCCGAAAAATTGTGAAGCTTTGGTTGTTGGTGTAGGCCATTGAGTTGGCAGTGGGTTCTAGTTTGCTAAGATTTCTCAGGGCCTTTATGATTGTGTCGCTGTTGAGTGGGTGGGGTGGGGGTAGGACATCTGAGGGTGCCGCTGACATTGTCTTCCCTGTAGATGGTGAATTCTAATGTATAAAGTCCGTGATGTTTGGTGGTGTTGTTTAGTTCTTTTACGTGAACAACAGCCGAGAAATATCAAGTATCTGCTTGGCCGTAGTTGAGTTGTAGAAAGCCAGTTAACCTTTGGGCACGTCTATGTTCCAGGTCAAACTCTTTAAATAATGTATGTGTAGTCGATACTATAAGTTGAATGAATATAATAGCAGAAATAAAATGCATATATAATAACTTTTATGAAATACATATACAATATAAAAAAACCCTCACATACAATATGCATCCTAATAATTTAAGTTAATGCTTAAGTCTCTAAAATTAAAAATGTTAATTTCCAATTGAAATATCCTATATCGAAGCTTGAGAACTTGGCGAATAATTTTATCTTTAATTTGAAATTTATTTTTTTATCTAAATTAAAAACCATTAATGTTTTATACATACTAGACTTGATTTATCGTAGACGACTCGACAATGACAGCACTCAAACACATATACCATAATTAGCAACACCTCAACGCAAATAACATATTACACTGCATTGACCAGGCTCACAGGAATAGCACATAAAATGTTTATTGGTGTTCTTTATAATTGATTTTTATGTAGTGTGTAAAGGTTGATGAATTGTCCGAAATATTGTGAAGCTGTGGTTGTTGGTGTAGGACATTGAGTTGACAGTGGGTTCTAGTTTGCTGTTCTCTGATGAGTGTTTTTATCCTGTTTAAACGTGTGTTACTTTACAGTAAAATATTTGTTTTGAATTTTGAAAATTAAATAGTATAACTATTAATATTTGTGCAAATAGATGGAGAGCCGCACTATGACATCGAAACAGCCCCATGCGGCTTGCGAGCCGCAGGGTTGCCGACCCCTGTGTTAGCAGATTAATTTCCAATTCGTCATCAAAAATATATTAATTTGTGAAGACGGAGAGCAACCACTGAATGACAATTGAATATCAAGCTCAAAGTATGTAATAAATTATGTCACATCTTTAAATGGTTCTTAAGATTTTGAATACAATAGCAATTTAGTTACATTTTTATATTAAAACTGATCTCTTGAACAATACATAGGAAAATATAATTTTATATTAGAAAATTTATATAATAATTTAACAGCTGTTTACTATTTTTGTACTATTTACGTACGCGTCAATCAACAAAAGAACGTGTAGTTGTTTCCCTTTTAAAATGTAAATTAAATCACTTTCAGTTATCACATCTAAACAATAGAATCTTAACATATCATTCACTTAATCGGTTAGCTAGGACTATCTAAAATGGTTCTTTATTGAAAGAGTGATCGCGCCTTGACGCTGTGTACCTTGCCCCTCAATTTTAAAGACTTTTTTCACCCGCCATTTTTCATAAAGAGTCAGAGATCGCGGGCAGTATATTTTTTTTTTAATTGAAGATGCTGTAGACCGAACTTTTTACTGTCATTTGTAGCTGTCTAGCGATCAACGATTATAAATTCGGTTAATCAACGTGACGTCATTATATTTCATTTACTCAACTTTTCGCTGCATGTGTTTCTATAACAAACCGCCTCTCTCTATTTGTGTGGTCGGGCTGACCGTTAGCCCTACACACCTGACCAAGCGAGCACATTATAATGATGCACACTCTGTTATTTAAAGATCTAATTGTAACGTGGTTATTTTGAGTTTTTTACTTAGAAAAAAAATTACTAGATCTACATCATTTTAGTTACAATTCTTTAAAAAATTGCCACGGATCTTGATCTGGGCTCACCTGAGAGCTACAGACCGTTCTCCCTCTGCTCTAACATCAGCAAGCTCTTGGAAAGGCTGGTCAATGCCCGCTTGCTTTTGGTCTGTGCTGCTCGACCTATGTGTAGTTTAATCTTGGTTTACATTGAGCCTGGTGTAGAAATAGATTTTTGGGAATATTAACTGATATTCAAACAATAGAAAAGCAGTAATATATTTTTAAAATAGAATTTATGCTAATTTATTAATATTTTCCAACTTGAATACGGGAAAATAATCGATATATATATATATATATATATATATATATATATATATATATATAATTCTCTTCTTGGATACCCTAGAAAACACCAAGCTGTAAGCTCGCCTTATCTTCCTTAATGACATACTCATAGTGTTTTAAAGCAAATATTTTCAGTGGCAGCATTGGTACTGTCTAATTCACAAATTATGATGAATCACTGAAAAGTAGAAAATAACTAAATAGCGGCGTACGGTACGCCGCGGGTCGGCTCATGAAAGTATACAGCTTAAGCAGCACTCGTAAAGTTTAGAACTTCCCATGTGTATTAGGCAGAGAACAACGAATCACCTGTAATATTTTACACGAGCCGACCCGCTGCGTATCATACGCCGCTATTTAGTTGTTTTTTTCTACTTTTCAGTAATTTATAATTTGTGAATTCGACAGTACCAATGCTGCCATTGAAAATATTTGCTTAAAAACACTAACCCCCCCCCCCCCCACCCCCCAGTGAAAGCAGCCTCCTATTAGTTACGTCCTCTAAGTTTAAAATCGTTTCAAACTAAATTATCTGCCCTTAATAGCCGTCACCAAAGCCGTCTCTATGATTGTAAATATAAACAGAGTGAACACAACTCACCAGATCATGTGGGGGTGGGGTGGGGGTGGTAGTGATACTGATAGAGAGGAAGAGAGGGGACTGCAAAGGCGCGCTTGCAGCTTGTTTTCTAACTGATCCCAGAAGAGAATTATATATATAGATTAAAAATTGTATAGAGTGGTATTGAATGATTAGTTAGATGTATTTAAATATGTTCTCTCTACTGGTCTATATATTCTAGATCAAGTACTTTTGTCCTTAGTTGCTAAACAGAGTAATGCTTATTTCAGGCATCTCCAAAGGTTGGTGAGGGGAATTGGAGGGGCGTCAACCACCATCCACCCCCTAAAATGATATAGAATTTATACATAAAGTTTATACTTTTAACACACTCCCCCCCCCCCCATCGGAGAAAAAATGGAAATTGTTATGTACAGTTTCACATAGACACAGTATTTTCTATTTGCCTTAAGTAAACTTAGGCCCAAGAAAATATGTGATGTTGCTAAAAATCATCTACCACATGTTTTTAATTACAGCT